GGGAAAGAGAGAGAGAGAGAGAGAAAAGAAAGAAAATACCCAATAGAGGCCCAGTAGCCAAAGACATCCTTCTCAAAATACAAGCTGTGGTGCCTGGCCACCCTGCCACTACCCTTCACCCAGCTGAACACAACATAGCTCCCAAAACCCAGCAGGTGCAAGCTGAGTGTTGGGTGAAAGGTCTCCGCTTCAACCTGAGAACCGGCTTCAATTGAGAACCCGCTTCAGCTTAAATGGGAGGATCTGGTTCCGCTAGACAGGAGAATACCCTTCCGTCTACACGTGAGAGTCTTGCTTCTGCTCAGTGACGCTGTTTGCTGTGGGTTCTTGGCAATTCCTTGGTTCGTTGGACCTCGGTAAGAGCGGAGAATATCTAGCCCAATTTCAACCCCGCTCCCGACAGCTCACTGGTAGGCGCTCTGCTTGGATGTGAGCCCCTTTTCTTCTGGTATTCAACTTCACAGGTAATAGGAGAGAAAGGTTTATTAAACTACCCCGAGAAACCGTTTTCCACCAGTGGGGCGGATACCGAAAGTTTGCTCACATGTTCTGTTGGTAAACATGTGGAGAAAACAGGCACTTTCAGAAGGTGTTGGTGGGAGTATAAATTGGTGCAAAGCCGGGGCCAGCACATGGTGTAATGGTTATGTAGCTGGACTCCGACGTTCGAGTCCTGGACCCAGGATTTAAAACTCACGCGGTCATGTGTGTGCGTGCGTGTCCAAAACCCTGAGAAGAGAATGGAGGAGAAGGAACTGTGGCATGGCCATCCCCCCTTGGGGGTGATTTCTCGTTTTCTGTCTGTCTCTCTGGGAGTGCATGTGCTCTGAAGCAAAAATCTCTCTTTTAAAAATAATGGTGCAAATCCTCTGGAGAGCACTTTGGCAATTGTATGAGAGTTAAAAATGTATGTACCCTTTAACATGGTATTTTGGTATTTAGATTTAGAAATTTACCTTACAGATGAATTTAGACATTTGTGTACTAGTTTATGTAGTAGATAACTTACTGCAGCATTGTGTGTCAGAACAATGAAGACTGGGATACCCGAAAGTCTATCAAATGGAAGGCCATGTAGTAATTACAGTATTTATTAATACGTTCCCGCTAAAGAATACTACTCCCCATATAAAAGAACGAGAACACTCTTTATGTGCTGATTTAGAAAGATGTCTAAGGTAGATTAAGTAATTAAAGGTGAATTGTATAATACATTGAGTTAAATAGGTAGAAAAATATATTTGCTTATATATGTATTTCCGAATCTCTGCCTCGAAATAAATCAGAAACTAGTAATAGTGATTGTCTGAAAAGCTTGGGGACTGTGGGTGGAAGGGAGGCTTCTTAGAATTTGCTCTTGCGCGTTTTGATGATTGAGCCACCTGCGTATTTTACCCCTCAAAAATAATGAATGTTTTAAAGTCTAGAAATTGATTTAAGAATTTCAACAGAACTTGCGTGTTTGAAACGTTCCCTCCTTCGAAGAATGACTACATTACAACAAGATCGCAAAGAACTGAACTCTTTAGAATTGGTGTTGCACTTAACTATTGAAACAAATACCATGTACATAAGAAATGTAATCTAGGAACTCAGTCACTAAACACCAGGCCAAACTATGAGGCCTGAGCCAATGGATTTTAAACCCCCACACCTGCTTTCATGGCCGTCTGGCGGTGATTACTGAAGCTTAGCTTTCTAAGTGGCAGGCCCTATGAGATGCTTAAGCAAGAAGAAAAGGTGCAGATGGCACACTTGTCTCAAATCTGTATCAAGTTTCTTTATCAGCTTTAATGTACTAAAGGGTTTTACTGGATCGACTGATTTTACTCAATATAATCAGACAATTGAGTTTGTTGTGTTGAACAGGAGGCGGGATTTAGACCAAAATATATAAAACGTGCAAAATTATTTTTATTCAATTAGAAAATGTAATTAAACAAGTTCATCAGTTTCCTATCATTATAATTCTTTCTCAGATAAAAATAATAAATGTCTACTGTATAAAATTTAGAAAACTCAGTTTAAAAAATGAAGGAAGTAAGACCTGGTATGATTGTTGAGGCTCTGGACTCCCACATGGCTGACTGTGGTTCGAGTCCTGGACCTGGCAGCTTGTTTTCTCACTTTCTCTCTCTCTCTCTGGTCAAATTTAAAAATAGTAATAAATAAAATTAAATAATTCTTCTACAAAAAGGAGACAGTAAAAATAATCTTGAAACATAATCTTTGCTAGTCTTTTGATGGCTTTTTCTCCTCTGCATATATTTTTAAAAAATTGGTCCTACTTTTTAATGATCTGATTTTTATGTAATAAAATTTTTACCTAACAATACTTTTAGTATTAATTACATTCTAGAACATGATTTTTAATGACTCCTATGATTCCATTGTGTAGATATACCATAATTTATTTAACTAATCTTGTAATGTTAGATGTCTAAAGACAGCCTAGTTTTGAAGCACTTTGTTTAATTAGAATTTCCTTGTATCTTGCTTATGATAAATTTCATTTGCTTCCTTTAAGTGCTCTATAGACGTCTCACGCTGCCCAAGAAGGATGTGATCCTCCACTGTGACCTGTATGGGTCCCGTCTCAAAGCCAGCCTTTAAACATGCCTGTCTTGTTCTCTGCTGTAGTGCTGAAATTGGCCACCCTTGGGCGAACTGGTTCCCAAAGCCTTTTGAAACATCTAATTTGTTGGCCAATACTTATTACACTGGCTAAGATTTCAGGTGTTATAACAGCAAGTAATAAAAAATGACTGGGGACCAGGGTGTGGGTATTCTAGGCAAGAGTTTTTGTTTGTTTGTTTGTTTTGTTTTTTTAATTGTAGCATAAAGCCATTGCTTTTAGAAAAGCAGGGGGAAATTTGACGTAGCAAGAAACTAATGGCTCATGCATTCTGAGTCATGTGCTTTGTTTCAAGTCTTACGAAGTTACATGACATTAGAAAATCACCCCTTTCATTATTTCTTTCATGGTTTCTCTGAAGAAATAAAATTCGTAAATTCACACTTTGAGTTTGATTTAGAAGCTATACATTTCATTGGTAATGTGGAGGGCGTCATTAGTTTTGCTTCAGTCATTTATAGTTTGAAACTAGGCCAGTTATGGTCTGTGTCTAGTTTCCTTAGCAGTGAACAAACTCCCCTTCTCTAATAATAAATACAGAGATTACAAACAATGGTAGGCTCAATATATCCAACATGAGAGAATCAAACAGCTTTTACATATTCTGAGGCACATAAGATAACTTTTGATATAGTAAAGAACAGTAACCCTGGGCCAGCTTGTAGCCCAGTAGTTAAGGAAGCCAGATCTCACATGGCTAACCGTGGTTTGAGTCCTGGCCCTGAATGCTTGAAAAACATGCTGGGCTCATGTACATGTGTGCTTAAAATCTCAACCTGTGTGCTTAAAATTCTAATAGTGAAATGGTGACAGGATTCTTAAGTGACCACACCCCACTAGGGGGTGATTTCTTCTTCTCTGTCTCTGTCTTTGGCAAGCACATGTGTAGTCTGGCAATTACAACAAACAAAAACATAGACTAATACTCTACTGATAAATAATTCTCCCCTGGGTTTTTTTTACATTGTATCCTAAGACTCAATGGATGATTAACTTCCTGTGAATTTCTGCTTTTATTGTGAGAAAAATGATGAAAGTAGAATTTCTTTTAAACTATTCTATGGTGAAATCTTCACTAATTACAAATCAGTAAGGCCGTTTTGGTTTGGTTTTGTTTTAGGAGGTTTTTGCACTGCCAGAAAGAGGGAGACAAGAGACTGTGAGAGGGAAAGTGAGAAATCACCCTGGGGGTGGGGGGCAGCGGAGGAGATAGCTGCACCTCAATCCCTTCTCTTCCACTCTCCTCCTGGGATCTTGGGCATGCGCAGACATGTGGCTGGTGTGAGGGTCAAGTCATTAGGTCCGGTACTTGAAACATGGTTGGCCACGGGCAAGTCTAGCAACCTAACCCTGCACTATCTGCTGGCTCTGTGGCTATTTTTATATCAGTCTACCATCATGTGAATTTCCCAAGCTTTTTACCTTAGATTTCCTGGGGGAGGGCCATGTTAAAGGGCAAATTCTGGAAACTGCATCTTGGTGGGTGTTCTGAGGCCAAGCAAGAACCTAGATGTCACACAGGAGGAAGTGGGCCAACCAGTGGCACGTGGTTAAAGAGCTGAATCCCACATGGTCCTGGACCTGGCAGCTTGAAGAAACATGTCAGGTGTGTGGGCCTGTGTGCCCCAAATCCTGAAAGGAGGCAGAAAGAAAGGATTGCATCATGCCCATTCCCCCATCATTCCTCCACGAGGGATGCTGTCTCACTGTTTTTTTGTTTGTTTTCTCAGTTTTCTCTCTCTGGCTCTTTCTGGAGAACACGCGCATGATCTGTCAGATTGGAAGAAAAGAAACAGGAGGAACTGAAATCAAAGTACGGATCAAAAGGGGTGGTATTCGAGGAACCCAGAATATCAAGATCTGGGCATAGCTTAATCTCTTGTAAGAAATAAGCTGGGACCAGCAGATGGCATGGTGGTTATGCTGCTGGACTACTATGTAGCAGACCATGGTAGACGTCCCAAACCAGGTGGCTTCAAACTCCTGCTGGGCACGTTGCATGCATGCCCAAAATCCCGAGAGAAGAATGAAGGAGAAGGAAATATGGCATAGCCATCCCCCCTCGGTGGGGGTTTTTATCTCTATCTCTCTGGAGAGCGCATGTGCCCTATAGCAAGAATCCCTCCAAAAAGAAAAAACAGAAGTAGCAGCCATCCTTGTGTCTAAAAAGGAGTGATATGAGTTTATTGATGTTTTAGAAGGCTAGTTGGTACAGTGTGATGGATGAATAAGAGGAGGGAGATGATGAAGGTAGGCCAGATATGACAGTAGTCTCGGAACCTTTTTGATCTTTTGCATTTGACGACCCAGTGCCATTCACCCCACAGTGTGAAACGAGTTTCACATAGCACTTGCCTTTTTTCTTTTTTTTTTTTTTTTAAGTTTACTTATTTCCTTTATGAAGGAGAGCAAGAAAGAGGCAGGCACTCCCAACAGGGCCCTCATGCCAGGGTCCATGCCTAGTCCTTGCTAACTCAGATGGCAGGCCTTCAGAGGGACAGGGTCCCCATGGTCCCAGGACCTTCCTATGCAGGTCAGCGGTACCACCCTGTGCCAGCTCCTGGCCGCTTAACACGTGTACTCTGATCTCTTCCGTCTAGTGTGCTGTACTTCATTGATATTATACACTGCCAGTCAGGACCTTTCATTCGTTTTCACAACCGTAATATATCAAAGCTTAGAGTTTGAAAGGCATGGGCTTGGAAGATGCAATGGAGGTAGTATTTTGAAAATTATTGATATATTTTCTCTTTTGCCTTTTCAGTATGTGATCGTTACCCTGTCTCGGTGATGGTTGGGAGTTATTTGAGAAGGAAAGCAGAGAAACAAGAAGGCAGTATTCGGATTCTGACGTTCAGATACAGGAATTTACAGTAAGACTAAACTTTCATAGCAGGCATCGTCTTGACTATGAAGGTCTAAATTCACTTATCTGCCTTTAAAAGAGAATCAGACAGGAAGAGGGGGGTGTCCATGTCTTTCTGGAACAGACATGCTTGAAAAGCTCACTCTAGAAGGTCAAGGTATGCCTCTGTAAAGAGGCCCAACCGGCATGCCAGACAGTGCCCATAGTAACTCCTGGCTGAGTTAAAGCCTAAAAACCCTTCACGACTATCACAGAGAGTACTACCCAAGCCTTAAGAAAGCGTCAGGGACTTACGAGTTGGGAATTCCAGCAGCAAGACTGGCAGGACACCCAGCAGCTGGGGAAACAAAGAATGCCAGTCTAGAGACTCGGGAGTGTTAGCCAGCGTATGCCCAAGGCACCCCTCTCCCACGTTCACAGACTGTGTAAGACCATGTCTTCCTCATACACCCAGATGCTCTTAGAGAAAGAGGAAGTGAGAAAAAAAAGGCCACTGACAGAATGAAAATTTCTTTCTTCTTTCGAGAGATTTTTGCTGTAGGGCTCATGTACTTGTTGGAGACAGAGACAGACAACAGCCAAAGTGAGAAATCCCCCCCTGAGGGGTTGGCCACATCACAATCCCCTCTCCTCCATTCTCATCTCAGAATTTTGGGCATGCACACACATGCACCCGGTATGAATTTCAAGCTGCTGGGTCTGGGACTTGAACTGGGGTCAACTATGTTGGAGTCCAGAGCCTTAACCACCATGCCACATGCTGGCCCCCAGAGAGAACATTTTCATTTTTAAAATTTTTTTTAAGAAAGAGATTTTTGCTGTAGGGTGCTTGCACTCACTGAAGAGACAGAGAAAGAAAGACAGACAGAAAGCGAGAAATCATGCTCTGGGGGAATGGCCATGCCGCAATCTCTTCTCCTCTGTTCTCCTCTTGGGATTTTGGGCATGCATGCACGCACACTTGGTGTGAGTTTCAAGGTCCCAGGTCTGGAATTCAGACCTTGGCTGGCTATGTGGGAGTCCAGCAATGTAACCATCATGCCATCTGTTGGTCCTAAGACTGAACATTTTTTAAAAGGAGTGAATAAACAGGTCAGTTCAAACTTAGCTGCAAACCCAGTCATTTAGCTATCTGTTCCTCAGCCGGGGTGTGAGCTTGCGAAGGATGACATCAGCTATGAATAAAACAAATGAATTTCCCTCCATCTGCAAGCACTCCAAGTCAAATCTGTGGTTGTGTTATAGAGACTCCTGCGGTTCGCGGTGGTAACTGGCTAACCTCCTGAAACATAAGCCAAGAGATGGGCTCCCTTCTATTCTTGGGTTTCAGTCCTAGGATATGAGTGCCATTCACTGGCTCTGTCATGCCATTTCTCTGTGTGAGTAATATATTGAAAATATTAGCTGAGGGACCAGCAGATAGCATAATGCTTACGTTGCTGGACTCCCATGAAGCTGACCACGGTTTAAGTCCCAGACTTGATGGCTTAAAACTCATGCCAGGCATGTGTGTATGCATGCCTAAAATCCCGAGAGGAGAATGAAGGAGAAGGGGTTGTGGCATGGCCACCTCTCCCCACCTCCACCCCGTGGTGGGGATTTCTTGCTTTCTGTCTCTCTGTCCCTAACTCTCTTGTGAGCACACATACCCTATGGCAAAAAACTCTCTCTCTCAAGATAAAAAATAACTGCTGATATTTCATAGTATAGGTAAGTAATTCATGAATGCTGTGATGACTAGTATTTAAATTCTGATAAATACACTTTTAAGGCAGAAAGTTCCTTATGAAAGAAATGATTGACTTCTTTTTTTTTTTTTTTTTTTGAGAGATTTTCACTGTAGGGCGCGTGCGCTCGCCAGACAGACAGAGAGAGACATAGAGACAGAAAGCGAGAAATCACCCCCCAGGGGGGATGGTCATGCCGCAATCCCTTCTCCTCCATTCTCCTCTCGGGATCTTGGGCACGCATGCACACGCGCCCAGCGTGAGTTTTAAGCCACCGGGTCCGGGACACGAACCGCGGTCGACTACGTGGGAGTCCAGCGACATAGCCATTACGCTAACTGCTGGTTCCCAAGAAATGATTGACTTCTTTATGAACCGTGTTTAGAAATAAGAATGGCAAGCAATAGCTTTGGAGGAAAGCCAGGAAAAAGTGAAGACCAAACAGTACTCTGTCAGGTACTGAGTTCATGCTTTGAAAGTTGTGTTGAGAAAATTAAAAAATGGAGCAGCTTCCAGAAAAGAATCAGGGAAAATATAGGATTTAAAATATGCCACTGCAGCACATTTTTCCATGGTAAAAATTTAAAAAAATCTATCGAGAGTGAGTAGCTTTAGTTCTTTAAGTACCTCAGGCAGTCTGAGGAAGTATTCTTTTGCAAAGGGCACCAAAAGTTGATTTGTTTGATAAAAAGTGAGACTTGGGCATGGGGAATAATGAGGTCAGACAGTGCGTGCTAATTATAAGTTGAAGGAACAAGGCAATGGAGATGAATTTTTATTAATTTTCATGGCAAATAGTCATCCCAGAGAAGCATTTTACTTGAGCTGTTTTTTATTACATTTCTAGCAGTTTCTGTCTCACCTCTCTCACTAAGCAGTAGTAGCTGTCTGCAAATTTAAACACCATGTCTGAGGTAGTGGAGGCTCAGGTAGAGGGACTGTGAGCAGCTCATTTGTGACTTGTTAGGGAGATGGGGCCTCTCCACACTCTCAGGTGCGTGAACATGTTGTTAATGGCATTAAAGGAGCAAGGCTTTTTCAGTCCCCAAAGAACTAATCAACTTTGCAAGGGAACAGATTATTTCCTGCAGTCCACGTACCTACCATGTCTTCAAACTTCTTGAAATCAAATTCACTGATGGAGGCAGGGAGGAGAGAGAAGCGAGGTAACTCAGAACTCCTGGAAAAGCCGCTCAAAATGGCACTCACCGATTGCTAGAGTCAGCTGCAATTGACAAAATATTTATGGTCGATCATTTGTTAACCCCACCAGTGCATGCATTAAAGAGATTTAATCCTGCCAACAGTGTCTTTTAAAATTCTTTAGCTTGGAGCCTTTTTCATGCAGTATTGAAATAACATAGGTCTTTGTGATTATGCTATTCTGAAAAACCCCAGAGTAACAGAAGACCAGACTGCAGATGGAAAAATGTAAAGGAAAAAGAATAGCCAATTGTGCTACTCTCATTATAGCAGTACTTAAGTTGCATTTATCTATCAAAACTTTCACCTTCCCATCTCACGTATAGACACTAGAGATGAATGAAATTCAAGAAATAATCCACTATGGAATTGGCACAGCCCGAAATGATCTCTGGGAGCCTGTTTTTAAATGACTTCTTTCTAAAGCACTAATTTCTCCTGTTCCTATGAAATCACTTGATGGATATTATCTAACAGCATGCTGGTGCCCAGAACTTTCCAAGGATTATTTAACATCTGGGTGGAAGTAACTGTTCGGGGTGTGGCTAGTTCAGTCAATTGCCTAGTTTTGCCATCAGGTAGCAGATTGGAATCCTGGTAGATCTTGAAGTCATCTACAAAATTTAATTATATCTGTATTCTATAATTGATGGCTTAATTGCACAGGGTCTAATACCTGCTCAATGCTTCAGGCGTGTGCACCTGCCTCTGGGACGACTGTCTTTCCAGTGCAGAGGGCAGAGGCCAAGTCTTGTACTTTTGTGTGCCTCTGGGCACCTAGTAAAGTACTTTGATCTTCAAGGTTCCCCAAGGAACAAAAGGCGAGGCCATGTGCGTGTGCACGCGCGCACACACACACACAGTGATATACATACACACCTACAGTGTATGACACAAACACACACACATATATATATACACACACACACACATATATATATACATATATATATATATATGTATATATATATGTATATTAGGTCATTGGGAAAGTCATGACGTATTTTTCTGTTTTTCTATGCAGAATTGCGTCATGATGTTCCTGACGACCCAATATACCCATACACTATCCACACACTATATAGTCACACACATACATGCAGTGATAGTTGTTTTTTTA